GAGGAGACGAGACCCGTCTGAGCTTAGATCACACGCTATCCCTCGGTCTGGGTCCCACAGGCTGAGGCACCGGGAAGGCCACCCCGTGCCCCGCAGGGCTACGTTTTAACCAGCCACCGACAAGCGCCGCGGTCCTGCTGGCGAGCTCCCAGAACTCCGCGGAGACGCCGCGGAGGGGGGTCGCAGGGCCGCGGGGCCTCTGGGGAGCTCGCTTCCGGCCTCGAGAGCCTGGCTTCCAGGTCGTCAGCATGTTTATTTTTGTGAATGACTGTGGGCCGGCTGGGCTGCGTTCTGAAACACGGAGGTCCCCGGGACTCTGCCTGCCGGCCTAGACCTCACCCAGGAGGGCCCAGGGCCAGGGGGCCCGCCAGGGGAAGGTTTTCCTGGCGGGGTGGCTGTGGGGGACATTGACAGGCTGTTTTCCCACGGCTGCCGCCTCCCACAGGCCTGGGGAGGAGCCCAGGCTGAGATACCCCCACGTGGAAAATCCGGGTGCGCACAGACGCGTGGACACGGATGAGGCGGGAAGCAGGACGTGGGCCCGTGGTGCGGGCTCCTCACCGCTGACCCTGCCCTCGGAGGAGGCGGACGGCGTAGGCCCCTGGGTGTCTGACTCCAGAGCAGGAGCGTGTGGCACTGACATCGACTGGGGATGGGGGGCGCTTGCTCGCTGGCCTGCAGGCTCTGCCCTGAGCCGGGGGCCCCTGCGGGTGACGAGCGTGGATCTGGGAGCAAGGCCGCCTGGCGTCCAATCCCAGTTTGCTACTTGCTGGCCTGAGGCCTTGACATGTTCAACACCCCATGCCTCAGTTTCCCCACAGCGAAGTGCATGTGGAGAACGAATCCTTTGAACTAAATTATGTTTTGGAAGCGGGGCCTTATCCAGTTTTCTCTCCCACACGGAGCTAAGCAGGCTGCTGTGTGCGAAGCTGTGGTCAGAGAACGGCGGCCGGACCCAAGCCTCTTCCTGAGGCCCGCGCCCTCCTGAGCGCTCTCCTCACGTCTCAGGCTGCTCCTGGCGACCTACGCTTCTCATTTGTCTGAGAACTCAACTCTGTGAGCTCTTTTTTAGAAATTGATTTTTAGAGAGAGACAAAGATTTGCTGTTCCCTTATCGATGCATGCATTGGTTGATTCTTGTCTGTGCCCTGACCAGGGATCAAACCCGCAACCTCAGCGCATTGGGATGACGCGCTAACCGACTGAGCCACAGGCCAGGGCTGTGAGGCCTTAGTCAGGGATAGGTGATGAGAACGCACTGTTGTCTAGAAGGCTTGGGAGCCCAGCCCGCGTGGCTCAGTGATTGAGTGTCGACCTATGAACCAGGAGGTCACGGTTCGACTCCCGGTCAGGGCACATGCCCGGGGTTGGGGACTCAATCCCCAGTGTGGGGCGTGCAGGAGGCAGCTGATCAATGATTTGCTCTCACTATTGACTATTGTATCTCTTTCTCCCTTTCGCTTCCCTCTCTCTCTCTCTCTCTCTCTCCCTTCCTCTCTGAAATCAATAAAAATATACTTAAAAACAGGAACGGCGTGGGAAAATGCTAGCTTCATCACCGCCCGGACGGCTTCCTCTCCTGTGGACTGTGCGGTAGGAGATGGGCCCCCCGGGGCAGATGGCCCAGCACGTTGCCCCTGGGCTGCAGAGATGGGACTCTTGGATGAGAAGGCTGTACGTGGTGACGGTGCCACGCAGTACATTTCGGGGGTCACCACCTGGCTCACAGAGCCAGGAAGAGTGGGCACCCTCTCCGGCCTGTCCATGACAGCCCCTGTGGCCTCATGGGCCAGGCGTTCAGGAAACGCTGGCCTCCCTGACGGGCAGGCAGGTGAGGTCTGCGAGTCCCGAGCCCGAGACTTTGGTCTGGAGAACAGAAGCCATTTCCACGCCTGCAGCAAAGGGGTGGGGGGGCTTCATTCTGCGCCCCCCGCCACTCCCTCCCTCGCCAGTCCTATGATTGAGAAATGATTGTTTTTCCTTTCGCCTGGGCCATACAATTTTATCTGCCGTCTTGGCGGTTTAGCCGGGACAATAAACTGCCTTCCCGACAATATTTAGGCAGTTTCCCAAGACGGCCCAGCCCGGTGCCAGCGCGGGGCGCCTGCAGCTCAGCCAATCCCGCTGCGCCAAGGCCGCGAGTGTAGGTTCTGGTCAGCCACCCAGTGTTTCTGGGTAGTTTCGCTTCAGACTTGTACAAAGAAAATGGTTTAGTCCTTAGATAAATAGTCCCTAACCCCGAGCAAATCTCTCTCTTCCTGGCTGAGGAAACCATTTCCTCCCTCTCCCCCACGTCGTCCCTCCCTCCCCCCTCCCCGAGACGCGGGTCCCGCCGGCTCCTGGAACACAGCGTCCCTTGGGAACTAGAAAGCGAATGTGTCACAGGCGGACAGCTCACAGCCGCTTGTGGAAGGACTTCAACACCAAGTACAGCCAAACAGCACAGGAAGCAGGATGGCGGATTTAAATGCGGGTTGATGCCCTGGCTGGTGTGGCTCAGTGGATAGTGTGTCAGTCGTGGACCGAAGGGTCCTGGGTTCCATCTCTGGTCAAGGGCACAGGCCCGGGTTGTGGGCTCGATCCCCAGTAGGGGACGTGCAGGAGGCAGCCAATCCATGATTCTCTCTCATCATTGATGTTTCTCTCTCTCCCCACTCCCTCCCTCTCTGAAATCAGTAGAACTATATTTTAAAAAACGTAGCCGGATGACCTGATGCCCAGTGTGCAGTGGGACAGGCACGACTGAAGGTGGAAGACAATTCAGTTTCATCCCAAAGAGCGTGGGGCTCCCACGAGTGGCCGCACGTCCCAGGAGAGGGGGGACGGGCAGCGGGCTGCGGGCCGCGGGGCAGTGCCCTCCGACTGACCTTGGCGATCTGCACACACCAGTTGAGCAGGTACTGCGAGCCGATGTTGTCCTTGTGCTCGCGCACGTAGTCCAGGAGGCAGCCGAAGGGCATGAGCTGCGTGATGAGCTGGACCGTGGAGGTCAGGCAGATGCCCAGCAGGCGGCACACGTGGGGGTTGTCCACGCTGGCCATCACGTAGGCTTCCTGTGTGGACGAGAGGCGCGGGGGCTGGGGGAGAGGCAGGCCGATCCCTCCCAGGTCAAAGAGGGACATGATGTGAGGGGACAAGCTAGCCGGGAGGTGGACGTGTCCACAGGGCCTTTGATGTATCGCGCTGTGAAGGTTTAGGCGCAGCGCGAGGCCGGCACCCCCTGGGGGCCCGTAGGGACCTCCCTCCCTTTGCAGGGCACCCCCAGTGGCAGAGACCTGATGTGCCCAGCCTGGCACTGCCAAGGTCTTCACAGAAGACCTCTGCCTCGAAGCTAAGGAGGCTGCAGTTAAGATGTCGGCGGTGGAGGCACCTGGGGAGCATTACGCTGAGCGAAACAAGCCGCTCAGAGAAAGACAAGGGCCCATGGTCTCGCTCATCTATCTGTGGAGTCTCATGAACCAAGTGAACTGATGAACTAAACAGACCCAGAGACACAGACGCACGGACAGACTGTGGGCGCTCAGAGGGAAGGCGGGTGGTGGGTGGGAAGTGATGAACCGATGAATTGTGCGCAAACGCATCACCCGGGCACAGACAGTAGGGGGGAGGGCCTGAGGTGGGGGGAGTGGCTGGGAGAGGTCAATGGGGAAAAGGACCATATGTAATACTTTCAACAATAAAGATAAAAAATTAAAAAAAAAAAAAACGTCGTCAGGGTTCCCACGCCCAGATAGGGACTCGCCCATGGGTGCTGAGCCCTCGCAGGAGCCGGCCAGGTGTGAGGCGGCAGGCCGCCGGGCT